CAAATCTCTGGAGTGAGCATAATACCCAGGTACTCAAGTCTGTGTAGGCCCCAGGGTTTATGCGCTGCCAAAGGTATGTTCAGTGATTTAAATAACATGGTCATCACTGACATTGAGCGTAAGGCTGTTTCTTCAAACTGATCAATAGTCAGAAAATCATCCAACAGGTGGAGAATAAATTTCACATCAAATTTGTATTCCGCTATCCAGCAGATAGCTTGTGAAAGCTTGTCGAAAATTTTTGGGCTTGATCTAGACCCAAAAACCTGTCTCGCAAAGAAATAGTACCTGCCATCCCATTTAATACCATGCAGGTGCCAAATGGATGGGTGTAAGGGTATTTGCTTAAATGCATCCGTGATATCGAATTTATTCATGTGAGCACCGGCACCCAAACGTTTTAGTTCCTCAAATGCATCGTCAATTCGAATGTATGACATGGAAAATGTCTCTTTATCAATTAGCTCGTTTAGGCTAGGAACACCTGGTTTTTCATGAGGTGCCGATAAGTCCACGATCAGACGTAATTTCTTTGAATATTTACTCTGTGTGATGCCTAAAGGGTTCACTCTGAAAACTGGGAACGGTGGATGTTCAAAGGGGCCAATGATGTATCCTTTGTCTAATTCCGTCTGAAGTAAGCGAGTAACGGCATCCGGATTTCTTCTAGCTGACAAGTTGTTAACACATTCAAATGAAACAGTGGGGGCATTAACTATGCCAGTCATAAAACCTTGCTTAAGTCCAGTACACAATTCTTCAACAAAGTTTTGATTAGGATGATTTGAAAGATACGCCTGTAATTTGTCCACATCAATTGGTGTACCAGCAGAGCTTGGCAGTCACTGTGGGGTAGCAGATTTATTTCCTTTATTGAACGAGTTCGCAATTCAAATTAAGTACATCACGCTACTATAGAGTTTGCAGTAGAATTATGCAAGTCGTTATTATACGAGTACGTAAATAAATCATTACGTACTCACCATAATTAAATGAGGTCGGGATGGAATTGCAAATTCAATCATGTGTCAGTAAAGTTAACTTCGTAGTTCCATTGGACACGTTTTAATCAGTAACGTGACAATATGCATTTTTATTCTGACATAATTTAATCATGCCATTTAATGACGATGACCAATAGCGACGTAATTCCATGCGATCGGGGCGTACGTAATTTCATTTGGTAACTATTTAATAATGTCACGCAATTTATTTAAGACTCATTTATATACGACGTGATTGATAGATTTGAACAGAACCATGCACGCAACGTTACTGATCGAAAAAATAATTTACATATGTTACATATGTTTAGTAAAATGCAATTATATATACGTATTATTTCGCATTCAATATACGCACGTTGTGAGTTCACAACGAAAATAAGTACTTCACGTTGTAATTTCACAATTAAAAGTAGTTAGTTTAATTTATTATGAAGAATTTCGTACGGGAAGTTAGTTCACAATGAAAATAAATGCCCGATAATGGGCGAATTCGTGTATCATTTGCGTCATAGGAACATTCCAGGGTCTTCGTTTTCCAGGGTCTTCGTTTTCCATGGTCTTCATTTTCCAGAGTCTTCGTTTTCCAGGGTCTTCGTTTTCCATACGTTGTAATTTCACAATTAAAAGTAGTTAGTTTAATTTATTATGAAGAATTTCGTACGGGAAGTTAGTTCACAATGAAAGTAAATGCCCGATATTGGGCGAATTCGTGTATCATTTGCGTCATAGGAACATTCCAGGGTCTTCGTTTTCCAGGGTCTTCGTTTTCCATGGTCTTCGTTTTCCAGAGTCTTCGTTTTCCAGGGTCTTCGTTTTCCATACGTTGTAATTTCACAATTAAAAGTAGTTAGTTTAATTTATTATGAAGAATTTCGTACGGGAAGTTAGTTCACAATGAAAGTAAATGCCCGATATTGGGCGAATTCGTGTATCATTGGCGTCATAGGAACATTCCAGGGTCTTCGTTTTCCATGGTCTTCGTTTTCCAGGGTCTTCGTTTTCCATGGTCTTCGTTTTCCAGAGTCTTCGTTTTCCAGGGTCTTCGTTTTCCAGGGTCTTAGATCTTCGGTCTTCGTTTTCCATACACCCGTCTGTATATGTGTCTGCATTGAGTGTGGCGTGATTGGTCAGTACCTATCCCAGATGTTATCAAATCGTGTTGTAAGCCGGATAATGTACTTGTGTCGTGCTTATGTACTGAAATTACCAGTCACGGTCCCAGTACGCCCTATAGTGGAGACGTGGAGACATCATATCCAACGTCGTAATTGTTCTGAGCTGTGGACGACCATCAATAAAACAAATACTGCTTTTTAGGATTTACTATATTTTAAGAGATGAACCTGGGCAAGCAGAGTTTGTTTACACCCCTCCTTATTTTCATGTACGCCGAAGACATGCTTCGTCGTTCGAGGGCGCGATTTACGAAAAAGGAATATCCATGTGATATGCTGAACCATAAACCCTTTTTTAGGGTTTGTGGCTGAACGGAAGATAGCTTCTCGCCTTCGCGTTGATTCTTATAAAGTGCTTCATATTGTTAAATATAAATCAATATAAAGTTCCCCACTACATATGATTTTGTGGTTTATAATTACGGAACTAGCTGATCATGAGGGGATGGCGAATAACGATGGATTTGGTAAAGTTTTCAGAAACTAAATTTATCTAAATCGGAGATTTGCTGAAATATAAAATGCTGTATAAAGACGCGGTAACCGAAATTAATTAGTATTGTATTAATCGTATAAAAACAGTGAAATTGAACTACATGTGTCAGTATGGAGTTTTTTGCCTTGGCTGAACATTTATCAACAGCTGTGTACCAAACAGATAAATTCTTCTATTGCGGTCTTTAGCAAAGAAACTGTTCATTGCTTTTTGATGTTACGGCAAGTTTCATCCGCTATCTGACAGGGTTTGGAAAGTTGCCAATAAATTATCACAATAAACATTATAAAATGAGTCCGACATTTATTACTGGATTTGGTGTTTATGTCAATTTCTCCGAATCAAGCGGGGATGTTCTAACTCCGTTCAACATATTGTTCTTAATGTATTAATATAACGTATTTACTTGATTGCCATAGGAAGCAACATACTATATATATATTGTCACTTTCTAATAGAGATTGGAAAATTGCCAGTAAATACTATGCAACTAAATTACCAGTATATCTCAAGGCTGTAGCAACCGTACCGGCTATGGCCGGACCACTTCTGCACGCCCCCCCCCTAGCAGACGTGGTCCTAAGGCCCACGTCATCATACGCCTCGGGCCTACGGCCCTCAATGGATGGCCGGGCCAACTGATTTTGGCTTCCTACGGCCTTGTATCTTCGTGTGTGTGTGTAAGTCGTCATATGATAACTGGACTGACATTTTGTTATTTCACCAGTATCTTCAAATCAAATGGATTAACGGGAGACTTTCTAACTTACAGCTTAGCAAATTAATGCCATATTTAAATTATCGTCGCTTTTGAGGTTGAAGGCTGGCCGGCACTGTATGGTTGGAAACACAATTAACGACGGGACATTTAATATCAACATTTCTATTCAATTCAAACCGAGCGTGTACGTCCTTGTGTTATTTGAGAAAGTGATTCCGATTGAACCATGACTGGCTGACTGACTGAATGAATGAATGAAAGAATGAATTGATGAATGAATGGATTAATTAATTGACGAACCAATTATATTTGAAGTTTCCAAGTGCCCGATATTTCCATGAAGTATTAAGTTAATGTGGGATGTCAGAATACAACATTGGTTAGACACTTCAATCCCAGCACGTTTTGAATAAGTTGGTCGAATATGCACAACTGAAGACAATTTGTACTTTGTTTGCTTTAATCGCTTATGTTTTACTTCCTTTTGATAAACAACTTAATCCGGTGACGATAATCTTGTAATTACTGGAGGAACTAATCCTAATATTTAGTGATGAAGTTCCAAAATTCTAAATTCCAGATTCCAATGACTTTTTAAATAATAAATAATATTTTTTTTTATATAAAATCTGTTGAATTAATTTATAATATAATTATTGAAACATTTATATTTATTGTAATTGTTCTTCCATCGTATTGTCTTGTCAAGTTTATTATACATTTAACAGCCAATCAGTCACATGTTGGGATGCATATTCTAATATATTTTTTCTATCAGGCGATATTGTAGTTGGAAGTGCCAGTGTGTTCAAATTAAGATTATTCTCCTGGCTATGCATTTAAAACATTCCAAGTATATTATTCTCGAGCATATAAATTACAGAATTCCATCCCGATAATTATATGATAATATAGATTTACAGGTTCATGACAATGACGACGACTGAATTCAATCTTCGTTCTTCGGTTTAAACACACCGTTTTATGCCGCACTCATATAGTAAATATTGCATTTATTTTATTATCACGTGTGCGCCTGCTGACTGCCCATTAACAGTCCGGTCTTCGCTGAAATGCCTACGCCATTTAATATCCAACAAATTAGGCCTGAGGACTGTCGACATTCTAAGAGTATGAATCTAGTTTACCTTTAATCATTGGTTGTCTTAAGACATATATGAACTTTTACCTTTTAAGGTACCGTTCATCAAAGGTCACCAATCACAACAAAGAAACCACAAAATGGCTTACACTGCGTTCAAAACCATGCAGCGCATGACAAGGCTTACATCTCACTTTCTGAGACCTCGAGGGTATCTGAACAAATACGTCTCGCCAGCAATGTACACGGTTTCGTTGAGAAGTACTTCGTCTGATGCATGGGACAAGTGGGTCTCCAAATGCCGTCAAGTCAAGGTGTTGGACTCGGAGATGAGCTACTATGACTCAGCAAATGACGGGGTCAAAGCCAACACAGTACTGTTTCTGCATGGAAATCCAACATCGTCTTTTTTGTGGCGAAATATTATTCCACACGTTGAGAAGAAAGCTCGGTGTTTGGCGCCGGATCTGATTGGAATGGGGAACTCAGCAAAGCTGGCAAATCATAATTACCGCTTTGTTGACCATTACCGATATTTGACGGCTTGGTGCGAGGCTGTTGGTCTCCCTGATAAAGTGATTATTGTATGTCATGACTGGGGGTCGGGACTAGGGTTTCACTGGTGCAATGAACATCGCTCCAGAGTTGAAGCGATCGTTCACATGGAGAGTGTGGTATCCGTGTTCAAATGGGAAACATGTCCAGAAAACTACAAGGATTTCTTCCGTGGCTTACGTTCGGATGCTGGTGAAGAGATGATTTTAAATAAGAACTTTTTCATCGAAAAGGTTCTGCCTGGCGCAATCATGCGCACCTTATCGGAAGACGAAATGAACGCCTACCGCATTCCGTACATCGATGGAGGGGAGTCAAGGAGACCGTTACTTACCTGGTCTAGGGAGGTTCCATTCAAAGATGACGGTCCCCAAGACGTGATTGACATCGTTGATACATATGCCGAATACCTGTCCCAGTCGAAAGACGTCCCAAAACTGTTCATCAACGCAGATCCTGGATTGATAAGCAATGTTGCAAGTCAGGCGACAAAAGATTGGCCAAATCAACGCCAAATTACGGTAAAGGGTCTCCATTACATACAGGAAGACGTGCCAGATGAAATAGGAAAAGCTATCGTAGACTTTTTAAATGAAGTGACCCAGTGAAGTGTGTGACATACAGAGAATTGTTATAGATAGAAATGAACAATGCTAAATTGAACAGATGTTTATACAGTGAAAGCATCAAGCTGTGGATGTTATAAACGTTTCATAAATATATTTTACATGTTTATAACGACATCAGCTTTGTACCCTTCATTGTATTGTATACTTAGTAGTTATTTTTTTCTCAGCGAAAGTTCTGAATTAAAAATATCGAACCGAATGTAAAAAGGCGGTGGTCTTCGCGCCGCATCCTGTTAGAAATGGTACTCATAGCGACGTGTAAAACACATTGCTTGTTTATATGGAATTGGAACACGTGATGCGCGACGACCACCACCCTTTAACAGCAAGTCTCAGAAGTATTGGGGCAGCCAATTTGCAAACTCGCTATCGAATTGGCTAAATGCTTGGGTTTTGAGTCAAAACCAAAGCTGTTAGCTAGCGTAGTCTTATACCAAATATTGGGGAAGAGACGTATTTTGAAACTCTGTCTATATCTGTAAATATAAATATAAAGGTTATGTTATGTTTACTAAAACTAAAAGAAAGTGATATTACACTATTTACGGTCAGTGGTTAGATTAGATTCAAGTATTGGACGTTTTCACATCCAGACAGTAAATAATTGTAAAACTACTAGTAAGTGTATAGGTAGATGTATATGATAGTCTGCCATAAAACAAACATTAATTCTTATAGAGTTAATTTGTATGCTTGTATTCCCAGAAAACCATAACGTTCCCGTTGATGAATAGGCTTAACGTAAGCCGGTCACAGAAATGGACACCCAGATTTATTTTAACATTACTTTTCAGCGGATATAACTACTGTTCATCCGTTTGCTAGATTTAACTGTTTGAAAACCTTTAACAATTTGGTTTCCCCCGTATCCCAAAAATGTGTATAAAACATATTTTCCTCACGATGTGATTGAAGTTACCTTCTCTTCAAATGTGTGCATAACGCTTCCCTCTAAACGTGGAGCTTCTTCAGATGTTAACATTACAACACACCGTATAGAACAAATAAATGTATAATCAGAGTGGTATCATGTACATACAGCAGCCGAATAACTAGTATATTATTGAAAATTAAAACACTTAAAACATGTTACCTTTCCGTCCGACGGTCATAAATAAGAGGAGCAGTGGGAACAGTTTATTCCGCGCTTGTGGGTGAGTGATTGTATGGTATGGAGTGTGGTCATAGGTAGCAACTATTTGCTTGGAGGAACGACACATATAATGTGATGTAAATTGGCAGATTTACTACTGTTAACTGATCATAATTGCTATACATTACTGGTAATCCGTGGGTTACCTCTCAAATGTGATCGTAACTTGAAATTGTTATGAATGTATCTAGTTTTCCTCTGATTCCCATCCGCGAAACTTGTGCAACATTTGTATGGCCATTATATTATGTCGTTATTATTTGCTAGATTGATTTCGATTGATTAGTTAGGTAACAGTGTTCAGATTCACTTTCACATCACCCAAAAAAATAAATATCGTGGTAGTATATCCATTCAATGCGGGGCCCTGGTAAATATTTATTGTGCCAAGTTATCCAGCCATCAAGAGTACTCAAATATTTATTGGAATAGTATAATAATAAAAATAAAATACCTGAGATAAGCATCAATAATGGTCTACAGTTTCCAACACTGATCTAAGCTCACATTTGGTCTCTGTGTCAACGCGAGTGCAGGGCCAAAGCGCCCTCTATTGATGCTATGTAGAAAGTTCCACAACTCATAAATACGCGATTGGATACAAAATAGGAGAATCAATTTAATGGAATGATCAAATAATTACATGATTGATCCGGAGATCAAAATCTACAAATTATTTCATTTAACAATGTTAACATGTTTGCATAGTCCACAACTAACAAGAACAAGATTGTATGCAATTAGCAAAATTTTAATTGGGTAAATGAGGAAAGCGTATTTGTCCAAGACCTTGTAGAAGTAGCCTGAATAATTTTCAAGCAAATGTTTTATAAAATGTGTGTGCAAAAAGCTCTGGAATTGTCCAGCTTCAAGGAATCTTTCAAAAAAAGATTCACAGTTTTTTAAATGACATCGAAAGTTGCATTCTAAATAAGGGTCATCCCACCGGTTCGTTTAAATTATCCAAAGATATCAGACAAAGTTGTTCTTTGTCTACTGCGCTTTTCGTCATCGCAATTGAATTGTTAGCTATATCATTCATGCAAATTATCAAATTAATGATATTAATCTGCCAGCTTCTCTCGTACACATTCAGGTTTTAAAGACGACACCATCCATAACTCCAGGAAACCAAGCTTCTATCCCAACTGCTTTAAGTGTATATTGCAAGATTTTTTTTCAGGCTTAGAAGTGAACATCGATAAAACAGAAATCCTGACTCCGGCAAGACTAAGGCAAAATTGGCAACAGATGCATGTTTTAGCCCCCACCCCAAAAATGGGTGGGTGATCGACGCAAAAATATTGAGCTAAATTTTCACCAGAAACTGCAAAAGATGTGTGAAAAGTTGAATATATGGAGATCGCGTGACCTGACTAAGTAGATTGAGCTAAGGTTTTTGGGGGGCTACAACTTTAGTCTTTATGATATCTCATAATACTTAATACTATCTCAATTCCATCAAAACATATAAAAGACGCAAGGTCGAAATTATTTGGATTTCTTTGGAATGAAAACAGGCACAATAATAAAAGAACTACCCTAATAGGAGGTAAAGAAGATGGTGGCTTGAGAATAACTGATTTAGAATTACAAAACAAGGCATTTAAACTTGCATATGCAGTGCGAATTATGGAAACATATGCTTCTTGGGGAGTTATCCCAAAGAGTTATTTTTGGAAATATTGTGCGCTTTTGGAAGGAGTTGAACTATCACAGCCCCCCCCCCCCGGTTGATGTGAGATCGGAAATTTTGTGGAATAATAGATATATATTAATAGGTGACAATTCACTATTTTATAGACAGTGGTTGAGTCATGGAGTAGAATGCATAGGTCATCATCTGTGTAACAACAATGGCCACGTAATGTCATACGAACAGTTTACAAATAAATATAAAATCAAAACAGACATACAGAGTATATTGCATTCAATTGCAATGTATTGAATGATAATGTATGTGAGCAGGTACAAAATAGTACCTCTGATCTTAATTTCACAAGGAAAACAGTCACGTGTCTTTTTTATAATTTATTCGTCAAAGCACGGTATGAGCGGTATATAGTTATTCAGATTTTTTTGGAAATTAATACAAAATAATTAAATATTGTTATACATTATATACAACTTCCACTTTCAATTATTCAAATTAGGAAGGGAGCATCTCAACATGTTGAACGTTAACATATTGTTTCTTTCTCAACACAAAAAACAAATCCAAACATTTGGGGCCTGGGAGAGCTGTGGGGTGCATGGTAGACCCATACGGCCAATGGACAATAATCCAAAGGCTGTTTTAAATAAATAATCATTAACAATTAAACATGTAGAATAAACTGAACTACTGGGCCATTAAATAATGGCAATTTACGACAATATTGGAATTACTGTAAAAGCATTTATCTTCACTGGATGTTGTGAGCAATTTCACTTGGTTTTAAGTTCACGAAAGTGGCAGGAAAACAATGAGTGTTATTGTTATTTTACATGGATTTAACTTATCGGCAAAATAGAGAAATTAAAAACCAGTGTATAATGAATGCATTTACAGTACTTTCCCACTTTAAAGGGCGGTAGTCGTCGCGCCACGCATGCGCGAGTTATTTTGGTCTCATATAAACAAAGAAAGCGACTTTTTTGCGCAGATTGACAGTACAAACTCAGACGTTAGCCAAGCTTCAATTA